AAATTTCTTGACAGTGCCTCTCCCACTCTATCATCTGCTCTCCTTTTGCACTCTCTCACCACTCTCTTTACCTTTCTTTTACTCTCCATATACTCTGCTCTTCTTATAACACTTCTGCTTTGTAAAAACCTCTCATAAGCTACCTTTTTCTCTTTTATCACACCCTTTACTTCATCATTCCACCAATCACTCCTCTTTCCTCCTGCCCCCACCCTCCTATAACCACAAACTTCTGCCCCACATTCTAATACTGCATTTTTAAAACTATTCCAACCCTCTTCAACCCCCCCCACTACTCATCTTTGCACTAGCCCACCTTTCTGCCAATAGTCGCTTATATCTCACCCGAACTTCCTCCTCCCTTAGTTTATACACTTTCACCTCCCTCTTACTTGTTGCCACCTTCCTCTTTTCCCATCTACCTCTTACTCTAACTGTAGCTACAACTAAATAATGATCCGATATATCAGTTGCCCCTCTATAAACATGTACATCCTGGAGCCTACCCATCAACCTTTTATCCACCAATACATAATCTAATAAACTACTTTCATTACGTGCTACATCATACCTTGTATATTTATTTATCCTCTTTTTCATAAAATATGTATTACTTATTACCAAATTTCTTTCTACACATAGCTCAATTAAAGGCTCCCCATTTACATTTACCCCTGGCACCCCAAATTTACCTACTACTCCTTCCATAACATTTTTACCCACTTTAGCATTGAAATCCCCAACCACCATTACTCTCACACTTGATTCAAAACTCCCCACGCATTCACTCAACATTTCCCAAAATCTCTCTCTCTCCTCTACACTTCTCTCTTCTCCAGGTGCATACACGCTTATTATAACCCACTTTTCACATCCAATCTCGTATTAGTATTAAGATTAATTAAAGATTTTAATAAAAGTTAACCACTCTTATCTTGTCTAGATTTAAGCAGTTATTATGTACAGTAGGGCTCCACTTATTTGGCAGGTTAGGTTCCAGGCTACTGCCGGAAAGCAGACTTCGCCGGAAAGCAGAACTCCATTTTTTCCCATTTATAAATGCACATAAATGCCAGATAACAAGTTTACACTAACATATATTAAGTTAGCAATAGAACTAGGCATTAAAAAGTAAAATACACACACAGTACACTCATTATTTACCTCAAAATATTTGTAGTCTTAATGTAGGGCAAGAGATGAGTAGTATTTACTTCCCACCCTGCCTTGGTGGGAATTGGCCAGTGTGTTAATAATAAAAAAAAATAATAAAGTCAGGTGTGGTAGCCCTCCTGGCCACCCCACCCCACACATACTATGCTACGATGCTTAAAGCTCCCTAGAGCGATAAAATGCATATACAGTACACGTATTACTTACCTTAAAATATTTGTAGTCTTAATGGTCTTAATGTTGGGTGAGAGGTGAAATGTATTTATTTCTAGAAAGTCGTGCAGAAAGTATAGCATCCTGCCTGGCCACTTATACCTACTATGACATTAAGCTCCCTAGAGCAATAAAATGCACATATAGTACACTCATTAATTACCTTAAAATATTTGTAGTCTTAATGTTGGGCGAGAGGTGAGTTTTATTTGTATGAAATCAGGTTGGGAAGTATGGGTAGCCAGGAAGGGCAGCCCACCCCACCCCACTCACACATAATGTAAACAATCCAGAAGAATGCGTCTGCTTTTCGTCACTTTACATTGTGTACAAGTTGTCTCCACGCTGATACAGCAGAATAAATAAAGAGAAACACTCCCATTCTCATGTAACACCATTTTTAGAAGAAATGGCACCCTGAGTGAAGGCATACGAAAGGAATAATTTTCTAGTTACCCTCAGTAATATTATAGTGACACATTTTCTCTGATGTTGGACTACAAGTTGCCCGGCTACCACAAGTCCTACAAGTTGCCTGGCTACCACAAGTCCTACAAGTTGCCTGGTTACCACAAGTCCTACAAGCTGCCTGGCTACCACAAGTTGCCTGGCTACCACAAGCCCTACAAGTCACCTGGCTACCACAAGTCCAACAAGTCACCTGGCTACCACATATCATATTTATGTTAATTCATTTTACTGTGGGGTGTATTTAGATGCATTAAGTAAAATGTCTATATTAATGTTTATATGATATTTAATGCTCCTTAGTGTGATTATTATTGTGCTATTATTATCATTATTAATATGGCATCTTCAAGACTAATAAGACACTCTTAGTGATTTTAATGTGTACCTGCATGCCAGCACAGTGTGTAAGTTTACTTAGGTACAGGTACACATACGTATAATTATCAGTTATAGCAATAATGTAGGTATGTAGTCTGCCTGAGCTACATACCTATACCTACCTACATAGCTACACGATATTTAATGTGGCCCAGAGCCATATTACCATCAACATACCATGTTCACTGAGTTTAATCGTTTTTAACCCTTTCAGGGTCCGTCCCGTAGATCTACGGCTTTATGTTCAGGGTCCAAACCGTAGATCTACGCCATGAGCTCACCTCACTCTGATAAACTGTGAGTGGTACATTTGGGCCTAGATATGAGAGAATACATCTATGTGGTATGTGTGCACCACATAAAACAGATCCTGCAGCACACTGTGTATAATGAGAGAAAAAAACTTAAATCATGATTTTTAGATTAAAACAGCAACTTTGCAGTGTTTTTTCGTATGTTTTTTATAGTTGTATTTGCGATTTCTTGGTCTCATTTGATAGAATGGAAGACATATTACAGAAATAGAGATGATTTTGATTGGTTTTAGCACTGGAAATGGCTTGAAACTGAGCTCAAAGTAGCAGAAATGTTAAATTTTTGCCGATATTCAAGAGTACACAAACGACCTCACACGTCTAATACACATCAGCTGGTGGGTCTAATATACATTCACAAATATGGTGATGATATTTATACAATTATTACAGTAATTCATAACAGTAAATCTTCTATTTTTTGGTGTGAATAAAAATTCATTATGTGAATAAAAAATAAAAATGGAATTTATTTGTAAAGCCTCAAAATATAACTAATGAACAGAGGAAACGTTAGTTTAGTGCCAGGAATGCCTACATTGTTTATTCTGGACCCTATTTTGAAATTGGAATATTTTGAACTTTGTGTTAAATTGGCCAAATTAACAATTTCCGATCACTTTATTTTGTAGTTGAAACAGTTGACTTGGCGATTTCTTGTGCTCAATCGATAGAATAGAAGTAATACTAGTGAAATAGCTAAGAATTTGGTTGATTGGAATAATGTAATTGGCCTAAAATGGGAGTCAAAGTCGGCAAAATTGCCGATTCGTAAATGTCGTTGACACATCAAAATTCGCGAGAGCATAATTTCGTCAATTTTCCACCAAATTTCGTACTTTTTGTTTTATTACCTTCACAAAAAGATTCTCTACGATTTCATAAGAAAAAATAACAAATTTTTTTTTTTAAATTCTTGGACACTGGTGCGTGACTCCAGATTTGGGCCTTGGACCCTGAAAGGGTTAACAACTACCTTTAGATGCCATCATAAACAAATGGAGAAGTAATGAATAATTCATGCCGAGAATTGTAAACAAAAGCGTTATGTATTAAGGAGAGTGACGTAATATTTTCCCTACACCCGGCTACCACACCTCCTTGGTATATACACATAAAATGACTATATGTTATGTAACGTGTTTCTTATATAATTTTGGAGAAAATATCATAGGTGGATTAATGAAAATGTCTATATTGACGTAAAATTAGACATTTAATGTGCCCAAGAGTGATTATCATTACATAATAGAGAGATGTACTCATGGAGAATGTAAACAAACCCACTTGCCGTATAGAAAGTTTTGGTCATAATTTGAGATCACTGTATTAGTGAAACGCCGTAAGGCGAAACGCCGAAAAGCAGGGCCCTACTGTATTAGGATTAGTCTGACCAAGATGCCCCGGCATGATAGTGGCTTTCTTTGGACTTAGCAAACCAAAATTGTAATTACACATTGTAACCTTTACAGAGAAATAAATCTTTTACTTTACTTTACTTTTTATATCAATTAAACACAAACGATGACATAAAAATTAAAAGATTAGAATCTGCTAAAAAAAAGATGAATTATGCAAAAACTGAGGCCAAAATCAAAGTACAGTATTTTAATTTACCAAGTAACAAGAGCTGAAAACAACATTAAACTATTTTTCAACATAATCCCAAAAAAAAAAAAACTAGAACTAAGCGATATTATAAATGATAAAAGTCCTGATACTGTGAAACTGAAATAAAGCTGGAAAAAACATACAACATTCTACATGAGGTAGCATTTGTGGGAAACTACTCAACATGAAGACTAGCAATGCTCAAAAAAAAAAAAATAAATAAAAATACAAGCTTCAGTCACTGAAATCCATAACACTAATAATTTCAAAATCATGTCAACTGATAAGGACCATGGTTCAACTCTTGGGCAGGCCAAGATATAGTGGCAATTCTCCTTGAACCCGCTACTCAATTTCACCTAGCAGAAAAATGGTACTTGGTGTTAGCCCATTGTTGTAGGTCACATTCTGGATGGAAAGTGGAATATCATAGGCAATTCACATTGTGGAAGGAAGGTAGAGATGGTAGTACTGTATGCCATAGCTAGTGCTGGGCTTTGAAATAAGCTGAGGTAAAACAACAGCTCTTAGCCTTTAAAGTGAGCTGAGTAAATCTCATGTGTAAAAGCCAGGTAAGTCAGAATGTATTCTCCGAGTTTAACAAAGCAACTGTATAGGGGTAGTGCATACTGTACAGGGAGGTGTACCAACATAAAAAAAAAAATATGCATAAGCAGATTTATGCAAAGCAAGTTCATGCAAAGCCAAGGAGACCAGGTATTGGGCAGAGTATATCTGCACCGTATACATAAACTACCCTAAAAAACAGTTGACCCGTAATCTAGTTAATTAAACATAAAAAAATATGCACATTATATAACTCCAACCTCAATGTCTAACCTGTTGGTGTATCAAAAGCAGGAAGAAGTTTATCAGCCACATCCTTTGATATCCTCAGAAGTGGTCCTGCACAGGGCCACCCATCCTCTACATCAACACCCATTCTGTACAGCGAATTAACGATTCTTAATTATTTTCACTGAAAGGTACAATGTACTTTTACTGTGTTATATTTACACAATAAATATTTTCCATGTAATGCAGCAGTATTTCACTAACATATTTATATGCAGCATGGTAATACCAGTCTCTAATAATAAGTAAAATTAATACAGTGGACCCCCGGTATTCGATATTAATCCGTTCCTGAGAGCTCATCGAATACCGATAATATCGAAAACCGAATCAATTTTCCTCATAAGAAATAATGAAAATCAAATTAATCCGTGCAAGACACCCAAAAGTATGAAAAAAAAAATTTTACTACATGAAATATTAAGTTTAATGCAATAGAATAATTACAATAACAATAAAATAATTGACACTTACCTTTAATGAAGATCTGGTGATGATTGATGGGATGGAAGGAGGGGAGAGGTGTTAGTGTTTAGAAGGGGAATCCCCTTCCATTAGGACTTGAGGTAGCAAGTCCTTTTCCAGGGTTACTTCCCTTCTTCTTTTAATGCCACTAGGACCAGCTTGAGAGTCACTGGACCTCTGTCGCACAACAAATCTGTCCATAGAGCTCTGTACCTCCCGTTCCTTTACTATTTGTCTAAAATGGGCCACAACATTGTCATTGTAATAGCTGTGTTAGGGTGATTTTCATCCATAAAGGTTTGCACTTCAACCCACTGTGCACATATTTCCTTAATTTTTGAAGTAGGCACAATGTATTCCACAACTGGTATAGGCTTCTCAGGGTTAGCCCCAAACCCTTCAAAATCTTTCTTAATTTCCATACTAATTCTCACCCTTTTTACCACAGGGATGGCACTAGAAGCTTTCTTGGGGCCCATGGTGACTTATTTTGCAGAAACAAGCACCAAACACAGTGATAATATGGATAATATGGAATGTACTGAATGTATCCTTAGATGCGTGCACACTGGCTGGCTTGTAAACACTGACACACAAGGGGCAGTTCAGGCCACATGTGGACAGGTCTCGTATGAATCATATCGAATACCGGGTTTTCAATCGAATACCGAGGAAAATTTTTTGCGATATAATGCATCGAATACCGGATTTATCGAATACCGATGCCATCGAATACCGGGGGTCCACTGTAGTCGAATTTCTGTTAATTCATTTGTAATTTCAGTAAATATACAGTAACAATTAATAATATTTGAGTCCATAGATATTAACTTATTGTTACATTAAACACAAAGAAAAATCTTAGTAACTATCTTTCAACCTTATTACATATTCATTTGCATAGTGAAACATAAATGCAATATGGATTCATAAAAAAAAAAAAATTAATACAGTAACCTTCCTCTCAGGAATACCAAATAATGAGGAAGGGAACAATAATATAAATAGAAACTTTAAACAGTATAAACTCAAACTATTGTATTCTTTGCTTAGTGTGTACATGTTGCACACTTTGCATTAATTTTTATTACATATTTACATTACATTGTAGGTAGTAGGTTGGTAGACAGCAACCGCCCAGGGAGGTACTACCGTCCTGCCAAGTGAGTGTAAAACGTAAGCCTGTAATTGTTTTACACGATGGTAGGATTGCTGGTGTTTTTTCTGTCTCATAAACATGCAAGGTTTCAGGTACGTCTTGCTACTTCTGCTTACACTTAGGTCACACTACACATACATGTACAAGCATATGTATACACACCCCTCTGGGTTTTCTTCTATTTTCTTACTAGCTCTTGTTCTTGTTTATTTCCTCTTATCTCCATGGGGAAGTGGAACAGAATTCTTCCTCCGTAAGCTATGCGTGTTGTAAGAGGCGACTAAAATGCCAGGAGCAAGGGGCTAGTAACCCCTTCTCCTGTATATATTACTAAATGTGAAAGGAGAAACTTTTGTTTTTCCTTTTGGGCCACCCCGCCTCGGTGGGATACGGCTGGTGTGTTGAAAGAAAGAAAGAAAGATTTACATTACATTGTAGGTAGTAGGTTGGTAGACAGCAACCGCCCAGGGAGGTACTACCGTCCTGCCAAGTGAGTGTAAAACGAAAGCCTGTAATTGTTTTACATGATGGTAGGATTGCTGGTGTCCTTTTTTCTGTCTCATGAACATGCAAGGTTTCAGGTACGTCTTGCTACTTCTACTTACACTTAGGTCACACTACACATACATGTACAAGTGTATATATACACACACACCCCTCTGAGTTTTCTTCTATTTTCTTTCTAGTTCTTGTTCTTGTTTATTTCCTCTTATCTCCATGGGGAAGTGGAACAGAATTCTTCCTCCATAAGCCATGCGTGTTGTAAGAGGCGACTAAAATGCTGGGAGCAACGGGTTAGTAACCCCTTCTCCTGTATAAATTACTAAATTTTTGGGCCACCCTGCCTCGGTGGGATACGGTCGGTTTGTTGAAAAAAAAGAAATTTACATTACATGGTTCACATTACAGGAGGGCCTCCCATATACAGCTACCTTTTTTTTTCAGTGTTCCACATTTTCGTTGGCTTTCAATCGAGTCGTTGTTCATTATGTTCGGTGATTTACCACTTTCCCGCTGTTATCGCAGTTTTCATACAATTGTGTAAGGGAAGGACAACTACCACCATATTTTAAGACAAGTATTGTATCTACATACTGTGTGTTTATTTTACTTTTTTATCTTTTTTTATGCCTAGTTGTATTGACCACTTAATGTATGATAGTGTAAACACATTCTCAGGCATTTTAGATGCACTCAATAATAAAAAAATGGCTCTTTTCCACCTGCCAATGGTTTTGGCTTATTGTTTGGGGCCATGAACCTTCGAGCGGCACAAATGGGGCCCTCCTGTATATGGTTTTCTGATGGCTAGAAACTAACCCAATAGCAAGATTCATCAAGCTGTTCCACCTGTGAGTTACTTTCTTTTAGGAGAGGGAGCATGGACACAGGGGTCATCCCACATACACTAAAATCAACAGACATAGCCCCACTCCACAAAGGTGGCAGTAAAGCAATTGCAAAGAACTACAGACCGATAGCACTAACATCCCATATCATAAAAATCTTTGAGAGGGTTCTAAGAAGCAAGATAGCCAACCACCTAGATACCCATCAATTACACAACCCAGGGCAACACGGGTTTACAGCAGGTCACTCCTGCCATTCCTAGCTACTGGACCACTATGACAAGGTCCTGGATGCTGTACAGGATAAACAAAATACAGAAGTAGTATACACAGACTTTGCAAAAGCTTTCAACAAGTGTGACCGTGGTGTAATAGCACACAAAATGCGGGATAAAAGAATAACGGGAAAAGTTGGTAGATGGATCTACAAAGAGTAATAGTAAAGAGAGTAAAGTCCCAGGCAGCCATGGTAAAAAGCTCTGTTCCACAAGGCACAGTACTCGCTCCCATTCTATTCCTCATCCTCATTTCTGACATAGACAGAGATATGAGCAATAGCTCTGTGTCTTCCTTTGCAGATGACACCGGGATCACCATGGCAGTGACCTCCATCGAAGACACTGCGAGACTTCAAGTGGACATCAACCAAATCTTCGAATAGGCCACTCAAAACAATATGAAGTTCAACGAGGAGAAATTTCAGCTACTCAGATATGGAAAACTTGAAGAAATTAAAAATGTGTCAAGGTATACCACAAATTCTAACCATACAACAGAGCAGAAAAGTAATGTGAAGGACCTGAGAGTGATAATGTCAGAGGATCTCGCCTTCAAAGACCACAACAATGTATCTACCTCATCCGCTAGGAAAATGATAGGATGGATAATAAGAACCTTCAAAATTAGGGATGCCAAGCCCATGATGATTCTCTTCAAATCAATTGTGCTCTCTAGGCTGGAATACTGCTGTACACTAACGGCCCCCTTCAAGGCTGGCGACATTGCAGACCTGGAGAGTGTACAAAGAACTTTCACGGCACACATAAGTGCGATAAGGCACCTAAACTACTGGGAACAGTTGAAGGTCCTTGATCTGTATTCCCTCGAATGCAGGCGAGAGAGATACAGGATAATATACACTTTGAAAGTCCTGGAGGGATTGGTACCAAACCTGCACACGAAAATCACTCCATATGAAAGCAAAAGACTCGGCAGGAGATGCAGCATTCCCCCGATGAAAAGCAGGGGTGCCACGAGTACACTGAGAGACAACACAATAAGTGTCCGGGGCCCAAGACTGTTCAATTGCCTCCCAGCATACATAGACCCCTGGCTGTCTTCAAGAAGGCACTGGACAGGCACCTAACCAGGTTGTGGTTCGAACATCAGCTTGCATGCGACCAGTAGTAACAGCCTGGTTGATCAGACCCTGATCCACCATGAGGCCTGGTCTCAGACCGGGCCGCAGGGGCTTTGACCCCCGTAACCCTCTCCAGGTAAACTTCAGGAATCCATGACCAAAAATTTCATAAGCAGACTTACCAACTGTGATGCAATTAAGTGGATTGAATGCTATCCAAGAAGAAAAGCACATTCAAGCTGCCAAAAGTATTTCACATTTCAGCATAAAGCTCAGTCTCAATTATCATAATCTTTACATAAACACAATTAGACTGGCCACATTTGATGAATCAGCACAGTGGGTAACTACTGATAAATGATTATGAACAGAACACATGTCAATGAAGGTTTTTATGATGCTGAAAATGCTTAAATGCTTAAACAGAAATATGAACACATTCACTCAATGTTCAATACATATACCAGAGAGCAAAGTTATTTATTTTCAAATTAAATATTGTATATAATTCAATCCTAGCAAAATTAAGATTAACTTAAGTCTATTTTCTTCAACAGATTTATTAAAAATTAATGTCATGGATCAAGATTTTTTTCAGAACTAATTAGCCATGCCAAGAGACAATTATACTGTATAGTAATACAGTGGTACCTCGGGATACGAACAGCTCAAAACTCGAACAATTATGTAAGTGCTTTTGTAAGTGTATTTTTTGGGGTCTGAAACAGATTAATCTAATTTACATTATTCCTTATGGGAACAAATTCGTTCGGTATCAACACTCGAAACAGCCTTCTGGAATGAATTAATTTTGTATCCCAAGGTATCACTGTACTATATGAATCAAGTTTCCATTAAATTAGATTGACAGTGTGTCAATATTGGATACAGAGTACAATACACTTACTTCTTAGACATGAGGTGCCCACTTAGAAGACCACCAAGTATTCTTATGCTTGTTTCAAATACAGAAACATTGATGTTTACATCAAAATTTGCCTTCTCTATAATCAGCTCCACCACTCGCTGAAATTCAGTTTTATTTTCCATGACACCCAATGTGTCTAGGGCATCAATTAATGTCAGGGAGTAACTGGGTGAAAAGGAAATACAGCATGAAAAATTAATATTACATAATATTTTGGTTTAACTCATGAACTATGTTCCTATCAACACAGTGTGACCTAAAGAATATATGACATTCACAGTCTCCTACTCTTAGTTGCCTTTCCAACTTAATAAAAACCACTACCATGCAATTTTGACTGACCAAACCAAGACACTGTGCTTCCTGACTTCCAAAACCAATTTATATAATGTATTAGGAAACACTAAAAATACTGTATTTATAATGAAATACAGTGGAACTCCGGTTTTTGTACTTAATCCTTTCCAGAGGGTCATTCTAAATCCGAAATGTACGGCAACTGAAGCAATATTTCCCATAAGAAATAATGTAAATATAATTAATCTGTTCCAAATACCCAAAAATATAACAAAAAATACATTTTATAGAGAATAACTATAGTTTTACATACAGAATACAATGAGAAATAAATATAAAGGACTAATGAAATGGATAAATGAACATTTAACATCACTTTTTACCTTTATTGAGGCCTCTTGTTGGCGTATGGAAGACGGCGAGAAGGGAAGAGGGAGGAGAGATTATCTCTACCACCATCACTACCACCCTCTACCATCATCATTAACACCATCACTACCACCCTCTACCACCATCACTACCACCCTCCACCAACGAGAAACAAAGCTAGACTGATTCAGAACGTGTGGGATGCTTTGTGTGGGTGCAGGCGGACACGTTCAGTACAGCAGACTACTGTTAACTCAACGAAAACCGAGGTGATGAAGGAAAACCGGGACAAAATTTTGACGAAAAAAGTCATCGAAAACCGAATTCAATGAAAACCAGGGCAAACAAAAACCGAGGTTCCACTGTACCATACACAGTACACCTACCTATTTACTTCTAGGCGAACAGGAGCAGGAGGCATAACCAGATTTATCTACAGTAGACCGTCGTTTAACACGGTTTTGTCTGGCACATTTTGGCTATAGCACAACTGAAGAATTGCAGCATATTTTTGTTAAACACTTTGCAAAATTAATTTAACACAGTTGCAGGAGGGGGAAAAATTTTGAGTGCGTGGTCGCCTGTGGGGCGGGATGAGCTGTGGGCCACATCACTGAGTCAACGGGGGGAGACCTACCACCATCCCCTGCCAGCATCAGCCACCCCCACCACCCTCCCAGCCTTCAGTTCGGTTCATACGTGTCTTGGACGAACCTGTGCCAGTAGCTCGCTGTGTTTGTTTAAATACATATTAATTGCCATATCTTAAATCTGCCAAGCAATCATGGCACCCAGAAGTCATACAAGTGTTGCTGAAAGTTGCAAGAAAAGGTTTAAGGTTTTAAGTCTTAGAATTAGTGAAGAAAGCATATACTATATTAGACAAGAGGTAGCCTGTAGCTGGAATGAAGTGTCATTTTGTACACAAAAAGAATGAGGTAAATATAAGTTTGAGTGATGACTGATTGGCTGACTTACTGATTGACTTGACTGACTGACTGACTTGACTGACTGATTTGACTGACTGACTGACTTGACTAACTGATTAACTTACTGACTTGACTGACTTACTGACTGACTTGACTGAATACCCTGACTTACTGACTGACTTGACTGAATACCTTGACTGATTTACTTAATGACTTAAGCCTATCGGCTTACGCACCAGGGATTTTGACGTACTAGTATGCCTAAATTCTAGCACCCTCAAATCTAGTGAGAGAAAGCTGGTAGGCCTACATATGAAAGAATGGGTCTATGTTGTGGTCAGTGTGCGCGGTATAAAAAAAATCCTGCAGCACACAGAGCGTAATGAGAAAAAAAAAATTTGACCGTGTTTTGGGATTAAAACCGACTTTGCACTGTATTTTCGTATGGTATTTATTGTTGTATTCTAGTTTTCCTGGTCTCATTTTATAGAATGGAAGACATATTACAGAAATTGAGATAATTTTGACTGGTTTTACAAAGAAAACTACCTTGAAATTGCACTCAAAGTAGCAGAAATGCTCAATTTTTACCAAAGTTCAAACGTAAACAAATCATGCTATGCATCCAATACACGTCAACTGGTGAGTCTAATATTCTTTCACAAGTGCACTGATAATATGTATACCATTTCTACACCAATGCAGTAGTCTGTATAACAGTAAATCTTCTATTTTTTTGTGAGAATAAAAATTCAAAGTGGACGTGACTAATGAACAGAGGAAATGTTATTTTAGTGCCAGGAATGTCTTTCTTGTTTATTCTGGACCCTATTCAGAAATTGGCATCCTTTGAAATTTGTGTGAAATTGGCAAAATTGATAAATTCTGACCACTGTATTGGATAATTGAAATCGGTAAATGGGTGGTTTCTTGTACTCACTCGATAGAAAAAAATGGAGCTCTAGCGAAATAGTTATGATTTTTGTCGACAAGTACACTGGAATTGGCCGAAAGTAGGGCTCAAAGTGGGCAAAATCGCCGATGCGTAAACATCGTCGAGACCTCTAACTTTGCGAGAGCATAATTCCGTACATTTTCCATTAAATTTCATACTTTTGGTGTCATTATGATCGGGAAAAGATTCTCTATCTTTTCATAGGAAAAAATAATTTTTTTTTTTTGAAAATTGGCCGACCCTGAGAACAAGTCTCTGAGAGGGCCTGTCGACCCTGAAAGGGTTAAAGTTAGACTTTTTCAATGAAGAAGACCTGAAACAGTGTCTAGAGCAACTGATGCCTTACCATCAATTGCATAATGTACTGTAGGGTAAAATAGAACAGGAATCCCTTACAGAATTTACACACACTCAAGTACAACCATTGACTTCAGTACCAGTACTTCTACCATCCACCTCAGCCCAGTAGGGCCCCAGCAGAACTCTCCACTCTCCACAATCATCCACAAACACCAGCACCCACAATTTAAGGTAATAAATACTATTATTTTTGTTGTATTTGTAATGTTATGCAGTAAAAACAACATAATACATCACAACAATGAACTACAATTACATATTCACTTTTATTTTTGTAATATCTGTTGGCCTAAAAAAAAAATTGCTTGACTTTTTGGGGGCTCCCAGGAACATCACCCTATTTTTCCCTTAAGTTCTTCTGTTTGTCTAACACGGTTTTTGCCTAACACGGTGTTTTCAGGAACATAACTACTATGTTAAATGAAGGTCTACTGTACATTTAGAAGTGTTAAAACGAGTAAAAAGTAAGGCATATCTTTACCTGCCCCAAGTGTCATGACCATCACATGACAGTGGTCGTAATTCATCATAGGGATAGGCATACTTGATGTAACCTTCATAAGCATGATAAAACATCCCACGAACTTCTTCCCTGAAAATAAGGAATGATGGTTACATGTTTATGCAAATACAGTATTGTATATTATTGTACTGGGATGCCATATTTTCAATTATGAAGTACCACATTAAAATATATTCAGGACATTAATAATTACAGAAATGCATAAAAAAATTCTGTATACAGTAAGACAGATTTACAAGCAACAGATTTACAAAAAAAGAAAAAAAGTTAAAACATTTTTTCTTGGATAGATAATCTCAAGTGAATCTGTGAGTCATCTTATATTATTCCAACTCCAGGCGGACATTAGGGATTACCTGGAGTTTACCTGGAGAGAGTTTCGGGGGTCAACGCCCCCGCGGCCCGGTCTGTGACCAGGCCTCCTGGTGGATCAGCGCCTGATCAACCAGGCTGTTGCTGCTGGCTGCACGCAAACCAACGTACGAGCCACAGCCCGGCTGATCAGGAACTGACACTGTTGTTTAGTTTTGTTATATTGTGCCAGAGTTGCTTGGGTTGGCTGTAAGAAAATTATTGTATTTTAAATAATTATTTAGTATACTATACACTCAGAATGACCTCTACACAAAAATAGTGCAAAGCACTACATCTGTAGGTGGAAGGTGATGCGAATTTCACTGTTCATGTATGTTGTCACAGCGCTGAATTCTACATGGCCACCTCTGATAGATTTAGCCAAGCATTCTGACTGTTGCCAAAAGAGCAGCTAAAAACAGCCACTAAAAACAGTCAGCATCATGAAACCAACACCACAGTACACACTATACTGTGTGGCCCATGTGACAAAATTTATGTTGGGGAAACCTCCAGAAGTATTACACAATGAATCTTTGAACATTGTAGTTGTTGTCAGAGAGATTACTTGAATAATGCTTGTGTTATCCATCACAACACCTGTGAACATCTCAAGTACATCACAAAATGACAAACCAGTCATCAGGAAATCTGACCTTCACAAGAGAAGTTGTTTAGCTATCACTCACTGCTACCAACAATATGTACAGTATATACATACATACATGCACATGTATATAATTAATTCAGAATACAGGGAGTTTCATCATATCCATAATACTAGAGCAATGCATTTCATCCATGTAGAACACAGCCATCAGTTAGGTCCGCCCTGCCGCTCCATTCCACGCACCTGGCCTTGTGCTGCACCCAAACTCTGCCACGACATAAACTCTGTGATTCTTGGAGTTCAGCTTACTACTACTATTACTTGGTGGAACTTGGGCATTAGTTTACATTTTACAATACACAGAACCTTTCTACATCACAGAGTAAGTACTTCTTGTGGAAATTGTTATTTAATTTGGATGTGCAGCATGTCTGAGTCAATCAATGCTTAGTAACAAATCTTGTCAGGCGATTTGACAAACATAAACACCACCACGCCAATACTGATGGCAGAATAAAGTTAAGCTAAGTCAGGTTATTTTAGATTGGGTTAGGTGGGTTTCATCAGTACAAATAGGCTATATTTTTTTACAATTTGCACAAAAAAATTGGTTCTATAAACCAACTGGTGCTGTACAATTCAAATTACAAATAAGGGCTGAGGAGCATTCATCTACTGAGTTCTCTGTATTGGACTAACCTGCCCCTGGTGGGCGAAACTTATCCACATTAAATGTCTTCATATATGTATAAGGCTCTTCGTCTGACTTTTTTGGGTTATCCTTGGTAATCTACACATGTGCTGCTATGTACGATAATTTACGTAACTGTATTTGTGTACCTATACCTGAATAAACTTACACATTTTACCTACCGAAAGATAGCCGACTGTGTGACATCCTGGTGAAGAGAACCAAGAACCCAATGGAAATAAGCCACACTGATTGATTTTCTTGGGTTATCTGGGTTATTAATCCTCCAGGATAATACAGTAATGAGAATAAAATTTATAAGGCGTTGGTAAAATCTGCATTCATATTATACCATATGTTGTAGAGACAAATGAAAATCATAAGAATATAGTATTGATAACATTAAGTGTAAAATATATAATAACTTACCTTAATTTAATTCTCTCTTTTTCTGTCATTCCAGTTGAAAATGACATTAAAAAACATACTTGCAAATACACAAATAAAAAGGTCATCTTGTTGCGGTTTATAAGAGCCACTGATAGTTCTCGCTGTACCGAGACCTGCTTCCCGATGGGCAGAAAGTATTGCCCAAAACTGAGCGAGGAAAGAAAAGGGAACAGTAGTTCCCTTTACAAATAGAAGTAGGAACAAACAAGTTCCCAATTACTTCGGGTGGATTCTCTTGCCTAAGCCCAAGCAGAGCAGGACACCTACACTCTCCCCTGAATTCAGTAACCGGCTTCCCATTAAAACCGTAAAATTTCCGTAAACAGACGGGAACCGATGAATGGTGCCCCCGTTGTTAAATGTCTCCAGATGACAGATCTAGACAAAGACAAACGTCCCAGGGAAAAATGAGGAAATTTGTTACCGATGATCAGGCGAGCGTGAGACGTCTACACTCTACTAAGGTTAGCGAGGAAGTCCAAAATAATGTCATCGTCTTCCGGATACGCTGAAGTGTTTCTAGTTCTTCTAGTGAAGGAATAGTGCCCAAAGTTGGTTGGGAAATGGGAAAGGAACAGGAGTTGACTTAGTGATAACAAAAACTGAAACAAAACGTTTGCAATTAGGTTAAACAGAATCCACGTTTAAGGAGAAGCAAAGCTAGAAGCCCATATTCAAATGAGTCAGCAACAGGCTTCTCCAGGCCTAAGAAACTTGCATAGCTGAAAATAAAGAGCTAATATATGGCGCTCCAGACCAATTTTCTAGTATAGTTTGTTTTAGTTTCGCCGCCTGAAAGGTTACTTTACTGTGCACCCCCATCCTGTAATCAACAACGAAAAAACAATGTAATTACAGAGGCAACAATGGATTTTTTTTTTTTATCAAACTTGAAACAAAATTCCAGGGAGAGAATTGGGAAATTTGCTCAGAACAGGTAGAGCGAAACACATCTACACTATTATTATTATTATTATATTTTATTTACTACAAGTACATGTACATGGTATACAGATCTAGCTGACATCAATGACATATTACTATATAGCAAGCCCCTTATTATGCTGAGCATTTCGGGCAAATTAGGCCAGTGTCCCAGGATGCGACCCACACCAATCGACTAACACCCAGGTACCCGACTCACGAAATCGTAATGACACGATTGCAAACAGGCCCGGTGGCCTGGTGGCTAAAGCTCCCGCTTCACACACGGAGGGCCCGGGTTCGATTCCCGGCGGGTGGAAACATTTCGACACGTTTCCTTACACCTGTTGTCCTGCTCACCTAGCAGCAAATAGGTACCTGGGTGTTAGTCGACTGGTGTGGGTCGCATCCTGGGGGACAAGATTAAGGACCCCAATGGAAATAAGTTAGACAGTCCTCGATGACGCACTGACTTTCTTGGGTTATCCTGGGTGGCTAACCCTCCGGGGTTAAAAATCCGAACGAAATCTTATCTTAACAAACCATACCCCGGCCGGATTGAACCCGCGGTCAGAGAGTCTCAAAACTCCAGCCCGTCGCGTTAGCCACTAGACCAGCTAGCCACAATAAGATTCGTCCAACTAGGTATATTTCTACACCATAGGAAGGTTAGCACAGGCACCACTGTGACCCAGGTACCCACTTTACTGATGGGGAACATAGACAACAGGTGGAAAGAAACACGCCCAATGTTTCTACTCTGGCTGGGAATCGAATCCAGGCCCTTGTCGTGTGAAGCCAGAGCGTTAGCCACCAGAGCCACGAACGTTGGTGCTGAAGTCCTGGCCTAAACTTCCTGCCCATCCATTCTCCGTTATAATAATAATAATAATAATAAATTTTTATTTCTACAAGTACATGATACAACTTTCCTAAGAAATAGAACACAAAAAGATATATGCAAGTTGTGTACTACTTTCAACTTGTCCAATTGATTTTCCCATGCTGCAATTTGAGTCAATTACTGTTTACTATATATAATAACAGATGTACAACTTTAACAAACAATTATTTATCTGTCTAGTATTAATTAGTCTATAACCCATTAAATTTACTCTGCCCGTAATGCCTAGGCATGATAGTGGCTCTCTTTGCGCTGCAAATCATTATTGTAATTACTCACTTTAAACTACCTATCCACAACATGTCAATCACATTGTAAACTTGCAAAGAAATAAAAATTTGAAATGAATTTGAATTTAGGTAAGGTTTGTCAGGAAACAGGACAAGTGTTTCCTGACGCGGTTCTTAATCATATGATGACCCACAGCTGGAGCTTTTGGTCATCTGACCGAGGTCTTCCGCTGACTTACCGGTCCACCCCTTCAAAAATTAATGGAACACAAAGAGTTAATAGTGAACAGAGTAAAGTCAGAGGTGGCTACAGTGAAACGCTCTGTTCCATAAGGTACAGTATTCACTCCCTTCCTGTTCTTCATCCTCATATCTGACATAGACAGAGATGTAAGCCACATATTATTATATTATTATTAAAATTAAGGGGGAAGCGCTAAACCCGGAGGATTATACAGCGCCTGGGGGGGATGTGGAAGGCATTCAGGCTTAATTCGGGGAACTGGAGCACAGATCCAATTCCATAAATCTAGAACCCCTCACCAACATCAAGGAACCTTCCTTGAGGGGGATGTAAGCCACAGCACCGTGTCCTCCTTTGCTAACGACACCCGAGTTTGCATGACAGTGTCATCAATCGAAGACACTGCAAGTCTCCAAGCGAACATCAACCAAATGGGCCACAAAAAAAATATGAAAGATCAATGAAGACAAATTTCAATTACTCCGCTATGGAAAACTCGACACAATAGAGCGAAAAACTAATGTGAAGGACCTGGAAGTGAAAATGTCAGAGAAACTCACCTTCAAGGATCACAATAATGTATCCACCACATCTGCTAGTAAAATTCAATTCCTGGAGTTTACCTGGAGAGAGTTCCGGGGGTCAACGCCCCCGCGGCCCGGTCTGTGACCAGGCCTCCTGGTGGATCAGAGCCTGATCAACCAGGCTTTTGCTGCTGGCTGCACGCAAACCAACGTACGAGCCACAGCCCGGCTGATCCGGAACTGACTTTAGGTGCTTGTCCAGTGCCAGCTTGAAGACTGCTAGGGGTCTGTTGGTAATCCCCCTTATGTGTGCTGGGAGGCAGTTGAACAGTCTCGGGCCCCTGACACTTATTGTATGGTCTCTTAACGTGCTAGTGACACCCCTGCTTTTCATTGGGGGGATGGTGCATCGTCTGCCAAGTCTTTTGCTTTCGTAGTGAGTGATTTTCGTGTGCAAGTTCGGTACTAGTCCCTCTAGGATTTTCCAGGTGTATATAATCATGTATCTCTCCCTCCTGCGTTCCAGGGAATACAGGTTTAGGAACCTCAAGCGCTCCCAATAATTGAGGTGTTTTATCTCCGTTATGCGCGCCGTGAAAGTTCTCTGTACATTTTCTAGGTCGGCAATTTCACCTGCCTTGAAAGGTGCTGTTAGTGTGCAGCAATATTCCATTGTAAGGATTACAATGCTGAGTTTACAGAAATTTGGTTATTGTGTGGTTTACATGTAGTAAAATAGTGATTACAGAGTGTACCACTAGAACGCTTAGCATGGCTAGGCATTTCGGGCAGACTTAGTTTTATTCTTAATTTTAAAATATTACAAATTATGAGGTAAGTTGGTATTATGGCTAAGTGACTAAATACTAGTTTGTGAGTTTAGCAATGTAAATGCTTTTGTTTTGGCACAGTACATAGTTTCAGTATTGGAGTATCACCGGATTCATTATTTTAAGATTGAGATTAATATTTCTGTTTATGGTCAAATGAGTCAGTGAGTGTAAGTGTGAACCACCAGGTGGTATTCATGTAGTTAGTTGACAGGGTGTATCAGGGAGATAAGATGTTTTCTAATGGTAGTTTTGAAGGTGATGAATGTGTCTGCAGTTCTAGAGTTCTCAGGTAGGGTATTCCAGATTTTAGGGCCTTTGACATACATTGAATTTTTGTAAAGGTTTAGTCGGACACGGGGAATGTCGTAGAGATGTTTGTGTCTGGTGTTATGCCTGTGGGTTCTGTCACAACTATCAAGAAAGTGTTTTAGGTCAAGGTTGATATTAGAGTTTAAGGCCCTGTAGATGTAGATTGCACAGTAGTAAGTGTGGATGTACTGAACAGGGAGTAAGTTTAGGTCTATGAAGAGTGGGGGGGGTGTGTTGCCAGGGATGGGATTTAGTGATTATTCTTACTGCAGCTTTTTGTTGGGTTATTATTGGCTTTAGGTGTGTTGCTGCAGTTGATCCCCACGCACAAATAGCATAGGTGAGGTATGGATAAATAAGTGAGTGGTATAGTGTGAGAAGGGCATTTTGCGGCACGTAGTATTGTATCTTGGAGAGGATCCCAACCTTTTTGGAGACTTTTTTGGTTATATGCTGGATATGGGTGCTGAAATTCAGGTTGTTGTCAAGGTATAAGCCTAAGAATTTGCCCCCATTATTTTTGGTAATTAGAGTGTTGTCAATCTTAATGTTAATTTGTGCATCTCCTGCTCTGCTACCAAACATAATATAGTAGGTTTTGTCAGTGTTAAGCGTAAGTTTATTGGCTGTCATCCAAGTCGATATTTTGATCAGCTCCTCATTCACAGTGGTGTTGAGGGTGGCAAGATTAGGGTGAGAGATGACATAAGTCGTGTCGTCAGCAAAGAGAATGGGTTTCAGGTGTTGGGATACGTTTGGAAGGTCATTGATGTATATGAGGAAGAGCAGGGGACCAAGGACACTTCCCTGCGGAACTCCAGTATCAAGTGGCCGTGTTGCTGATGCCGTGTCTTTAATGGTGACATACTGATACCTATTAGTAATGTAAGATTTGAAATAAGCAAGCGCATGGTCTCTTATACCGTAATGATCAAGTTTGTGGAGTAGGATGTCGTGGTCTACTGTGTCAAAAGCTTTTCTTAGGTCAATAAAAATTCCTAGTGGATATTCCTTATTTTCCAATGCTGTGTAAAGCAGATCTAGCATTTTTATGATTGTATCATTAGTGCTTTTATTTTTCCTGAATCAAAATTGGCAGGGGTTGAGTATGTTTTGAGCCGTTATAAATGAATACAGTCTCCTGTGCACGAGTTTCTCAAAGATTTTGGATAGCAATGGTAAGTTAGATATTGGCCTATAGTTGTTTAAGTCTGTAGGATCACCACCTTTATGTATTGGTGTAACCCTTGCCATCTTGATAGGATGGATAATGAGAGCCTTCAAAACTAGGGATGCCAAGCCCATGATGATCCTCTTCAAATCACTTGTTCTTTCTAGGCTGGAATATTGCTGTACACTAAAGGCCCCTTTCAAGGCAGGCGAAATTGGAGACCTGGAGAATATACAGATAACTTTCAAGGCACGTATAAGTACAATAAAGCACCTAAATTATTGAGAATGGTTTAAATCCCTTGATTGGTACTCTCTGGAATACAGGCGAAAAAGATACATG